GGAGGGAGGGAGAGAGGAAGTCAAGCAGGCAGGCAAGCAGGATAGAAACCTTGATGTTGCTGAAGCAGCTGATCTAATCCTAACTGGCACATGACCTACACACAGAAATGTAACCTGTGATTCTGCTTACATTGTGTGTCAGTGGGGAATATGAAGTAACTCTTTTTTTTTTTTTGTCTTTTTGAGACAGGGTCTCCCTGTAGTCCCAGCTGACCTGAACTCACTATGTAGACCAGGCTGACCTTGAACTCACAAATATCCGCCTGCCTTTGCCTCCCAAGTGCTGGGACTACAGGCCTGTGCCACCACACCCGACCATGAAGTAACTCTTAAACACATCACTTAATTTGATGAAAATGGCTTCATAAGAAAATATAAAGTGGGGCATAGGGGAATTACCCCTGTAATACAGCACTTGGGAGGGGGAGGCATGCGGATCACTGTAAGTTTGAGGCCAGCCTGGGCTCCATAGTAAGTTCCAGGACAGACTGGGCTAGAGAGAGATTCTAAAACAAGAAAGAAAAAGGAAACAGGCTTGGGAGATAGATCAGTGGGTTTTTATATGGGTTCCCCAACACCCATGCAGGACGGTACATGTCTGTAATCCCAGCACAGGTGGGCAGAGGTAGGTAGAGCCCAGAGGCTTGATAATTAGTCAAGGCTATCTGAAACAGTGAACTCCAGGTTCAGTGAGAGACCTGGCCTCAAAACAATAAGGTGGCACAAGGTGTGGTAGCTCACGCCTTTAATCCTAGCACTCAGGAGGCAGAAGCAGGCAGAGCTCTGTGAGAGTTTGAGGCCAGCCTGGTCTACATAGCAATTTCCAGGCCAGTTGGGGCTACAGGGAGACCCTATCTCAAAAAGACAAAAAAAAGAAAAAAAAATTGAACTCTTATGCACCAAAAGAAATCACAAACTATAAAGAAAAGGGACCAGGACTGCAGCATTTCTTGGCCTGAGTTTTGTCATGTTTAGATTCCGTGTGGTGCTGTTTTTGCATGTGGGGAGATGGGGGGGTGACTAAGTCAGGGATGGGGTAGTGAGTAGCAGTTTCTACTTTCTTCTCAGTGACAACGCACATTAGACAATCAAGAGCTCTGGGGACTTCCATGGAGCCCCTTTCCTGGATGGATCGCTCAGTATTCCCCAGGGTCATTTAACTGTGGAACCAATCTGTCTTTGTTGTATCATCTATGAATGTCCCCTGGGGTATAAAAGGAGCAGCTGAAAATGCTGTCATAAGAAACACTTTGCCAGCCGGGCGTGGTGGCGCACGCCTTTAATCCTAGCACAGGAGGCAGAGGCAGGCGGATCTCTGTGAGTTCGAGGCCACCCTGGTCTACATAGTGAGTTCCAGGCCAGCTGGGGCCACAGGGAGATTCTGTCTCAAAAAGACCAAAAAAAAAGAAGGAGAAGAAACACTTTGCCATGTGAGGAAAGATGGTTCTGCTTACCTTTTGAGTTCCCACAGATAATCCTTACTCCTTCAGAAGTTCTGACCAGTCGCAGTTTAACAAGGGTAACTCTAATAATATGAAAGAAATCCGGGGCTTGGAAGTTAGGAGTAAGTTCTCCTGGTAGAGTAAGTGAACACGTCCCAAGAGCATGCAGTCTGCTGTCCTTCGGGTTTTTCTGCCTGGGACTACTGGAAGTGGATATTTTGAAATATGCTCAGGTAAGGGGTTGGAGAGATGGCTCAGCAATTAAAAACAGTTGCTGTTCTTTCAGAGGACTGGGTTCAATTCCCAGCACCCACAGTGGGGCTAATAACCATGTGTAACTCCAGTTCCAGGGAATCCAACACCACCTTCTGGTCTCTGCTGATATTGCACACACATGGTGCACTTAAACACATGCGGGAAAAAGTCATACACACACAAAAAATAAATATTTTTAAAAAGAAATATGCTCAGGTAGGAATGGAAGGCCATTTTCAAAATAATTTAAGGGCTACAAGATGGCTCAGCAGGTGAAAGAGCTTGCTGCCAACCCTGAACATCTGAGTTTGAGCCTGATCCCACATGACGGAAGGAGAGAACTAACCCCAGAAAGTTTTTCTTTGACTTCCACATGCATACTGTGGCACACACACATATACACAAACAAATAGATGTAAATAAATAAATTTATGAAAAAGGCAGTGTGATACAGGAAATGGCAGTTGTGAGTCACTTCTCATCAGTTATAGGAAAAGTCTAGGAGAAATTGTCTAGGATGATCCATATTGATTACACACACTCTTTATGGCTCTGATATTAAGGCCATTGTAGTCTAGAGAGGAGTTACTATTAAATAGTAGACTCCAATTATGGTTCAAAGTCCCTAGCTTAATTTATTCAATATTGTGACATATATATATGTATATATATATTTTTTGGGGGGGTGATTTTGAGACAGGGTCTCCCTTTAGTCACAGCTGGCCTGGAACTCACTATGTAGACCAGGCTGGCCTCTACCACCTGCCTCTGCCTCTCAAGTGCTGGAATTAAAGGTGTGTGCTACCACGCTTGGCAGTTTCTATATTTTCATTTACTTATTATTACATTTATATTTTTGTGGGTATGTGTGTGTTGTGGGGAGAGAGAGAGAGAGAGAGAGAGAGAGAGAGAGAGAGAGAGAAACTTGCAGAGTTTCATCCCAAGGATGGAACTCAGATCATCAGATTTGGAGGCATTGCCTGTAGAGTCATCTTGCTGGTCCCTGGGTACCTATATTTTTAGAGCAAGGAAAGAAGGCACTGTTAAGTACGTTGCCAGGTAAATTTAAGAAGCTAGCAACAGGGGCTGAGGAAATGGCCCAGTAGTTAATAGTGTGTATCTTCTGCAGAGAAACCCAATGCAGTTCCCAGAACCCATGTCTGGTGGCTAACTACCTGTAACTCCATGGAGGGGAGTGGGGGTGGGGGTGTGTGTCTGATGATTCTGGCCTCCGCAGACACCTGCACTCATGTGCACATACCCACATATAGACACACAAACATAATTAAAAATAATAAAAACAAATCTTTATAGAAAGAGGCTAGCAAAAGGTGGGGGCATGATTCCCATCAGGAAGGTTGGCACGGACCTACTCTAACCGCTGCTCTGTCCTATTTTTTTTGTTGTTGTTTGTGACTGGGTTTCCTCTGTCCCAGGACAGCCTCTAACTTGCTGTGTAGTGGAGGATGGCCTTGAACTCCTGTTATCCTGCCTCCACCTCCCTAGTGCTGGGATTATAGGTGTGCACCATCACACCTGGGGTTTATGCAGTGCTGGGGCACAGAATCCTAGGGCTTCCTACATGTTAGGCAAGCATTCTACCAACTGAGCTGCATCCCCAGCCACTTTTCAGGGACAGAAGAAGCAACGGTGGAGAGTTAAGCAAGTGAAAATATTGTCAGAAAACTCCAGCCTGGTGGGACCTGGGTTCACCTTGGTGAAAAGCTATGGTTTGTAGAGGAAAGAAGGGAAAAGCCACTTCAGAGAGAGAAGGTGTGTGGCACCGCAGTCATGGAGGAGGGAGGGAGAGTGCCACGGTAAGGGGTGTGCCAAGTCCAGATGTGGTCTCCAGATACTTCAGCCGACACAAGTTTCTGCTGAGTGGGAGGGAGGTGTTTCTCAGGAAGATATTGGGGGTTAGGAGTGGACACGTGGGAGGTGGAGGGTGGAGGCAAACCTTGCCTTACTACGAAAGAGAGGGGAAAGAGAAAGGGAAAAAGGGGGGTTGGGAGGGCGTTGAGGCTGGTCACTGAAAGAAATACAGTGTCTCCTGAACGCTCTCACTTGGGCTTAAGTGTTAGTTTTCTGAGTCCTGTGCACGGTTTGAGCGGTGTGGGTGCAGTGGGGCCCAAAGTCGTCTCTGCAAAATGACAGAATTCTATAAACTCGTGGGACAGGTAGGGTGAGGATCATTAGCAACATGCTGCTTGGACCGGCAAGCTCCTCTTTCCCAAACTGCGCATCCTGCGTGCTCCTTGCGCAAGGAGCCAAAGGCTAGTCCCTTGCCTGGGAAGGCTGCGAGGCCGGACGCACCGGTCCAGCTCGAGTTCCCGCTCTAGCTCCGGCGCTGAGCCTCAGGTGGGACTCAAGGCGCGGGAAGACCCGGCGGAGGCTGCCCCTCCCAGACCCGACCCGCCGTCTACAGCGCTCGAACCCTCCGGCTGACGGTTTCCGTGCAGCTTGCAGGGGGAGCCCCCGGAGCGCACGCAGCACCACTCTCCGCAGTGCACCGACCCGGCTTCCTAGACACCTCCCATCCAGGTGGCGTCCAGCTCCCCGGGACACGCGGCACGCCTCGGGGCACGCGCCCGCGGCGCCCCCAGACATGGCCGTCCCGGCCCCCCACCCCGCGGACTACAAGTCCCAGCAGGCCCCGCGGCCGGCACCTCCCTCCAGGTCCTGGAGACCCCGGTCGGTCTCCGCGGCGGGTATCCAGCGAGCTGAGCTCGGGGCCGGGTCGGGCGGGGAGGCCGGTCCCGCGGGCGGGGGCGGGGCCGGCTCCGCGGCTTCTCCCGCCGCCGCCGCCAAGGGGAGTTTCCAGGAAGTGGCCATATTGGATCCATTCAGCCGCAGCCGCCCTGGCGGAGCGCGTTCCGCAGCCGGCTCGTCACCGCCTCGGCCCCGGCGCTCGCTGCAGCCCGCCCGGCCGGCGCGGAGCTCGCCATGGCGGCCACCGACCTGGAGCGCATCTCGGTGAGGCTCGCGGGGAGGAGGCGCGAGGTGGGCCTCGACGCTGGTCCGCCTAGGGGGAGACCCCGGAGCCAGCCCGGGGTGGGGGTGTCAGGACGCCTTGGACAGCCGGAGGTGCAAACTCAGGAGGTGCAAATGCCAGAGGTGCGAACCCCGGAGGTGCAAACCTTCTCGTAGGAAGAAGCCAAGACCTGCCCGGCTCGTGGCAGGTGTGAAGACGGAGGGGAGGCTCCAGGGCGCCCCCGACCCTCTTCCAGGGTGTCCCTGCAAGGTTGGGGACCTTGCCTAGCCGCGCAGGTGCTGGTAGGTGGGTGCAAAAGGGTGCCCATTGAAGCCGCAGGACCGAGGGAGTCCCCCCTCCTACCCTCTCCCCAAACGGCTCAGGGCAGTTGCAGACTTTGATCCTGAAGACCCCGGATCTGTCCTCTGCTCCACTACCCCTCTCCGAGCCTGGGATCCTGGGTGCGACTCCAGACAGGTCCAGGGCCCTGTGGTCGGGTCCGGGTCTGCGGCAGCCATTCTCTGGGAACTGGGGTGATTCCAGATCCAACCCATTGAGTGTTTGTTTAGGCCCCAGTCAGGGTCTGCCTTCTCCTGCGCTGACGTCCCTGGTGGTCCTTACAGGGGTGTCTGTGGACTTGAGGCAGGCCGTAGCCTGGGAGGGGGTCTTTGCGGGGTTGTCTGCACTCCCTTGGTGTCTGAGGCTGGATTTGGGTGTGTCTGGAAGGCTAGGCTGTGACAGTGAAGGAAGCTGTGTCCTCTTGCCAGCATGTGAGGCCCTGGTCTGCTGGTAGGGGAGGAGGGGAAGGAGAGGGGGAAGGAAGGGAGGAGGTGGAGGAGGGCCTGGGGCTGTTGGAGGGAGGGAGAATTCTGAATATGTGACCGATAACGAATTGGTTCTGGGGCTAAATAAGGGAGCCAGGCCTTATGTAATTATGCTATAAATACTGTGTCTGAATTTATATATGTAAATTTTCTCTTTAATCTGAAAATACATTTGTTGGTCTTTGGAAATATGCATAACTAAGCAGGAGTTCTTGTTTTCATACTGTGTAGACTAGTGTGCTCTAAGCCTCTTGGGGAGGGGATGCATGTCTGTTAAGTAAGTTTAACTACATGGGGAAGAGATGCAGAGGCTGGACCACTGCTGTGGCTGTAAAATGGACTTTATGTATTGCAAGAAGACAGAGCTGAATCCTGATAGACCTGCTGAGTCGCTGGAGACCAGAAGACCTGTGTGTGCATGTGTGTCTGTGTGCATATTCTGTGCCCAGCTGGCCAGAAAGTTATGTCTGGGTCTGTTCTGAGGTCACAGTTGATCTTGTGCAGATGAACATATTCTGTAGAGCAGCTGGAATCAGATGACCTGAGATGAATCCTAGTTGCCACTTGTTGGCCATGGGACCTTCAGCAAGCTATTTAACCCCTCCGTGTTCTGTCTGTACCATAAGATAGAAATATTACCTTCCTCCTAGGGTTGTTGTGAAGGATTCAGTGAAGGAATCCAGATAAGGGGCCTGAGTAGTGTCGAGCATGTTATGGACACTCATTGTCCATGTGGCAGTAGAGAATGTGTTTGCCTGGTTGCACCACCCCCTTTGTAGGGGCTTCCATCCCTGTGTGGCCAGAGATGATCCCCAGAGGGTTAGCTGAGCGGTCCACACTGCACAGCTGTCGCTTGAGAGGATCTCACCTCTCTTTGCTTTTGGACCAGTTCTGCTGGAAGTATTATCTCCATAGTGGTCTGAGGCAGAGAGACGGGACAGACTCCGGTGTGAGTGTAATGCTGAGTTCTAGGGCCTTGTTAGTGTGCCACCTTGCTCTGGAGGGATGGATGTCTTCTCCGCCCTATGCTGTGAGCCTTCTGGGAGTACTTGGACCGGGTTGAATTTGGATGGAGAATTTGGGTGGAGTTTGGCCTGAATTTAGAAGTCTGGACTCCATTCGCCTCTCCAACTTGTCATCCTGGGAAAATAATCTCTTCCCTTATCTTGCTATAAAATGGGCATAACTATAGTGATTCTTGAAAGAGTTTGTGGAAGTAATTATAGTCTTCAGTCTTTTGGAGACATGGTAGGGCATCTCGCCAGCCCCAAGGTTTGGTTGCACTGTGGCAGGTTTTCACTGTTCCTCTGTTTTGTGCAAAGGGGTCAAGGCCTGCTCTGAGAACTGTCTTAATCTGGAGTCTATGAGAACATAGAGGGGCCTAGGCAATAGCTCATCAGGTGGATGGCTTGCTTAGCATACATAGGAAGCCCTGGGTTAGATCCCCAGCATACTCAGAAGAAAAAGGGAGCATGCAGAGTTCTTTAAGATGGAGGTGTGTGGGTATCTTGACTCTTTCCCTAACATGATGTATACACCATAGGCCCATCTTTATTAAAATGTATTTATTTTGTATGCATGTATGTGTGTGTATGTATGGGAGTGGCACAGACATGCCACAGCACACATGTGGAGGTCAGAAAACAATTTGTAGGAGTTGGTTCTCTTACCTTGTGGGTCCTGGGGATTGAACTTAGGTGGCCAGGCTTGGTGGCAACTCAGGCTTGGTGGCATGTGCCCTCACTGCTGAGCTATCTCACTAGACCCGCAGGCCCATCTCTGACCCCTCTTGGTCAGCTCTGGGATTCGTGCTGATGGCTGCTGTGGGGGCAGATGCCTGCCCACCTCTGCTGGGCCCCTCTTCCTTCCTGGTCTCTGACTCTGAGGCTTCCCCCCTCCCACCCTGAGGATCAGATCCTGTGACTCTCCTGTGAGCATCTCATGGGCAAAGTTTAGACTGCTTGATGAGGGACCCTGTGGAGCCCAGGAAAAGTGAAGATGTGTGGGGGAGAGGGAAGGAACGTGAGAGGCTGCCTCATGCTTGGTGTTCTTCCCAGCCAGTCACCCCCATCTCTGCTTTATCCTCAGTACCATCTGTTACATCGGTTGTCACCCCTGTAATTTGACACTTCCCCAACAAGCACACTATCCACAGGGAGTGCCTATTTTGTCCTGAAGTTTAGTGGGAGGCCGCCTTCTCACCCACGTGTGGCTCCAGGCTCTTGTCTCCTAGGAGCTCCCTGTTGTGTGAAAATGACCTCTGCCAATTTCTGATGAGAAATGACAGCTAAGCAAGAGATGATCCTGTAGCTCCCAGTGCCTGGTGTTGAAGGGCCCAGGTGAGCATCACAAGCCTCAGCTCTACACCTTCCCCCAGGAAGTAGGGTTGCCCTCTCCTTCATCCTCCATAGCATCCTGCTGTATGAGACGACCCACCTTACTGGGACCTTATTGGGATAGATCAAGGCTACAAGGCTGGTGGCAAGGTATTGGTGACCCAAGGGAGCCTGGGGTCACCAGGGAGGACAGCAAGAAAAGATTGGCTGCAGTGCTGAAGAGGAGGAGGCTGGGTAGAGGCCGAGAACCTGGGGCCTGGACTTTTGTCAAAAGCTTTGGATGCAGGGAGAGCAATGGATGCTTTGTGCTTGTTCTTTTTGGTGCCAGCAGGCTAAGGTTGGGCGAGGAAGCAGACTTTAGTCACTGGCCAAAGATGGGCCCAAGACCCAGATGCTTACTACCACCTGTGGACTCCATGAGATAGATGACAGGTGACAGAGCTTTGAGCCCTTAGATGGACTAGGTAGGAGTGTCTGTTTGGGACAGTAATTATCCCAGCTGTCTCTGTGGCTGCAGCCCAGCATCCCTGGGACCAGGCTCCAGCTGCAGGATGGCAGAGCGAAGGAGCCAAGGCATCCATGTGTCCTTGTGGCCTCCTCAGGCTTCCTACCTCTGTACCGCCACTTGAGTCTTGGGACCCCCAGCCATGTTCCCCAATGCATTAGCTTTGTATGTAACCAGATATGGAGCTGGTTTTCATTGGAGTTGTCTGCATCCTCAGGGCTCATGTGAGGAACTCTGGCTGAGAAGAGGCAGAAGAGCACAGGGCAAGGAGTTTCTTGGCAGTAGCTACTGGATGTGGTTGCTTTGGGTCAGAATGGATATTCTTAGCCTCTAGGTGCACCAGAGGCTTTGTGATAGAGGCCGCATCAGAGGGGGAAGAGAGAGCAAGGGTCCCTTTCTGCTCATGCTATTCAGCTGTTCCCTAGGAAGTCTCCAGACCTTCCCCATTGCCAGACAAGTGGTGACTGCCTCCTGTACCTCCTGCAGCACGGAGTGGCCCATATGTGCAGTGGCAGGATGGAACGTTTGCTGGCAGGCAGCACATCAAAGCCCAAGAATGTGTCTGTGTCCCAGGCCTAAGGGGTGGGGCTCCAGGAACTGTGCTTTTGGTTTCCTGGAAACCTGAATTTGTTAGAATGTGTGAAGCCAACCATTCCCAGTTAATAAGCTACAGTCTGGCTGTAGAAAGAGGGAGGCAGTGTCTTAGTAAGAGGAGCAGAGGACCAAGTATTGGGGCCAGGGAGAGAGGAGCTTTGGCTTCTGGGGGTGGTTTTGTCTTCTTGTGGTGGGGTGGAGGAATGAGTGGTCTTGTGAGAGTGACTGGTATCCCAGCTGCTATTTTGCCATTATTACTCTGTGGGCCACCATGGTGCACTGTGAAGGTCTCTTTCCCAGGTGTTCTGTTGCTGTTATAGAAGAGAGACACTGTGGGGCCCAGGTGTCCTCTTGACTCAGGACAGGTGTGTACTGCTTCTGCTCTCTCTAGGTCTAGGGAAGCAGCAGCTCCATCCCTGCCCTCCCACATACAATCTTTTTGTTTATATCCCCTAACCTCTGACCTGGGCTTAGAGGCTTGCTATGGAATCCTGGGAACCGAGCCTAAGCCTTTCCTGGGAAAATTCTTAGGATTCCTCTTGAGCTCAAGGACAGTTGTGCTTACCACCGCAGCTCTGGCCTGAGGCCTCTGCTCTGGCTATTTAAGGCCCAGGCTGTTCCCAGTCTCTGGAGCAGGGGTGGCGTACTCTGTGTGAGGAACATGGGTGGAGGAGGCTCCCAGTGGTACAGGTAACTCCTGGGTCTATTGCTCAATGACCCTGGGCTTTCCCCAGAACTAGTAG